GTGTGTGTGTGTGTGTGTGTGTGTGTGTGTGTGGAACTCACACTCTCAGACTCAGCAGTATTTGCATGGAGGGCGCGACCGCCTGTCATCTGCTCTGAGAATAAAGCACCTCCTCGGTCCCTCCCCCTGCACAGCTCATCTGCATGTGTATGGCGCAGCGCACAATGGCGCAGCTCCGGGCCTGTCAGCTCCAGCGGTCCGCACAGAGCGTCTATTGTCTGGGCTGCAGATGTCTCCGCAGCCACGCCGCACCATCTGCCGCTCCCTGCAGGTGGGGGTCGGGCAGGGCAGGACTGGGAGGAGGTGTCAGTGGGTCTCCAGTGCCGGAGGGGGGGGGCAGCTGGGTCGGGTCTGACTGGTTTGGGCCGGTTGTGGAGGTCCCGAGTATCATCTGCTGTCCTGCCAGCTGCTGTCCACGCTATTGTTTACTCGCAGGCACTTGGTGAAACTTTGGTAAACAGGCCACAGAGAGGGGAGGAGAGGGGAGCAGCAGCAGCAGGAGCAGCAGGAGGAGCCACCTGCTCTGCAGCTCAACAATGAAACCTGCGTCACACACACACATCAGCCTTTCACCACATTACTTCTTCTTTCAGTAACAATACGAGTCTTTTCAAAACCACAGGACTGGTTTCAATGGGTCGAAGTTTTTCACTTCCTTTGTAATCTGCACACTTTCCAAAACCCTGCATGCACAAAAGGAAAGATGCACAAAATGCATGTGCACAAATATATTTTGCATGAAAGAGTTTATGCAATAAAAAGACAATAATGATGATGATTGTGTTTTGTTTCGTATCAGTGTGAAGTTTGCAGGAACCTGAACATCTCATCATACGTCTGCAGCCGTTGAAGCCAGTTTGGACTCAACCTGTTAATGAAAGAAGAAACGGTGAGAGGGCAGATATTTGTGGCCATGTTGAGATGGGGCGGCTGTGGCTCAGAGGGTAGAGTGGGTCGTCCACTAATTAGAGGGTCAATCCCTGGCTCCTTTAATCCCTGTGTCAGTGTCGTTCGGCAAGATAGAGAAAGTGCTGCACGACTCGAGCCTGAGAGGTTTCCAGGAGCTTTGCTTTATTCTTAAGGGATCACAAGTCATGAAAAGGTTAAAGAGTTGCTGCAGTAAAGTTAAAAACATTTTACACTCAGAACTGTTACTGTTGTTTCCTGTCGTCAGGCACTTCACTTTAATACAAACGATAAAAAAAAGGATTTGACAGTAAAAACTAAACAGTCTTTTAAACAATGAATATAAACAGTGTTTATAAGATAAAAAAAAAATTCCCGTATAAAAGAATCTGTAAAAACAAAAAAAGCTGATCTAACAGTCATGAAAGCACACAGAGCTTGGAGGTGTGTCTGAGGCCCTTGTAGGCTCGGAGCCCCTCTCTCTTCGGGTCCCTCACCATACCTCGCACCACAGGGGGACAGTCGCAGCCCCTGCGCTTCTGCGCTCGGTGCAGCAGGATTCGATAAACCCCGGTGACGGGGCTGCGGCTGTCTGTGGGCCGATTGTTCCGTAGATGCACAGCGGTAAAGCCGAGCTCCTCCAGCGAGTTCCTGATCTCCTCCTCCTCCTCCTCCTCCAGGTCCCCGTACTCGGAGCCCAGCAGGCCCCGCAGAGGGCTCACTGGTTCCTGACGCACCAACGACCAGGGGAACTCCACAGGCAAGAGCCAATCGCAGCCCATCATCTGGTCGACGGCGTAGCGTTCGGCAGGGACTGGCTTCAAGATGCCCTTGATGAGTTTCTGGCAGGGACCGGCTACCCAGGGGGGGATGGTGTAGGCTCCGTCAATGATGCAGCGCCGCAGCTTGCCCATGGTTTCAGCGCGGAACGGCATGGTGCCGGTCACCATGAAGAAAAGCAGGACCCCCATGGCCCACACATCCACCGGAGGCCCCAGGTAAGACTCGTCCCTGAAGAGCTCCGGGGCAGCGTAGGGCGGAGAGCCACAGAAGGTGTCCAGGGCGTCGTTACGGTTCGGAACCTTCGTGCTGAATCCAAAGTCAGCCACCTTCACACAGCCGCTGGAGGTGAACAGAACGTTCTCTGCCTTCAGGTCACGGTGGATGATGTTGATGTTGTGCTGCAGAGAAGAAACATGATTTCAATGTCAGATCTGAGGTTGTAGATGATCTGAGAGCTTCTATTTTACTTCAGTCAGATTTTACAGATTCATTGTTGAGATTCTGGGTTTATCATGAGAGAAAAAAACGGATGTGGCAGCTCACCATGTATTTGATAGCAGAGAGGATCTGTGCGAAGATGATCTTGCTGGTGTTGTCTGTAAATTTCCCCTCGTTGTAGATCTTGTCGTGGAGGTCGCCTCCTCCTGCGTACTCCAGCACCAGGTAAAGGCGGCTGGGCGTCTCCACCACCTCGTACAGACGCACCACGTTGGGGTGCTGCAGGAACTCCATGCTGCTGATCTCCTTGGAGAGCAGACGCTGGGCCTGAGCGTCCAGCCTCGTCTTATCCAGGACCTTCAGGGCCACTTTGTCTACGAGGAAAATGACCAAACACATTTTAAAGTGGGACAGCTCTTGTTTGTATGTGCTTGTGTATCACAGGCAGAAGTAATGTGGATAGCTTCTTTACCTTTAGCCAGAGCGTGGAACGCCATTTTGACCCTGGAGAAGGTCCCGTACCCGATCTCCCCACGGACCTTGTAGAAGCCCACCCTGCGGCCTATGTTCAGCTCCTTGATGGTCTTCATGTCCTTGCACATGTCTGTGGTGAGCTTCTGCAGGGGGGTGAGTGGCAGCTGGGCCTTGGCATCCTCGTCCTCGGAGTCTGCGAAGGAGCTGTCGGTCAGGCTGTATTGGCAGTGGTGGAGCTTGGGGCTCGTCACCTGGTACTGGCCTCCAGGCATCTCTGTAGCAGGCTGGAGATTCACACACACGATCACGGTCATGTAACATCATCGGATGGTTTGTGCACAAAGCTGCCACATGGCAGAGCAGTTTCATTTTCTAACCAGAAGCAGCTGCAGTGTCATTAACATCTCATTAACATAAAACATCGGCAAATGTCTGAAACATAACAAACACTAACAAGCTCCCTAATAACTGCTTTTTATTATAATAATAATTATTATTATATAAATTGCTAACAGAATGTGGACACATGTGACCCAGAGCACCTCCACATGTGCTTTCACACGTGTACTTAGAGCTGTGCACTTGAGATAGAACCACGTAAACCACATGTTGATATCAGCCTGAGCCACGGTCTGTATATT